AGATAAAGAAAAATGGTTAGAAGCTATGCAGAGAGAGAGATAAACACATTAAAAGAAAACGATACCTGGACTGAAGTGGCACACTGTCCGGAAGATACAGAAATAGTAAGCAGTAAATGGATATTTAAAATAAAAGAAAACATCAGTGGTGATAAACGGTACAAAGCTCGTCTAGTAGCAAGAGGGTTTGAACAAACTAATTGTGACTCGGAATTATATGCACCAGTGGCGCGTTTAACAACTTTTAGGGTGTTCATGGCAACTGCTAATAAGTTGAACCTACCAGTATATCAGTTAGATGTGACCGGAGCCTTTTTGGTATGGTGACATTAACGAGACAGTGTATATGAAGTTACCCGATGATCAAGTTAAATCGTTCAATATATGGATTTAAAAAATCTCCAAAATATTGGAATGAAAAATTTGATAGTTTTATGATCGGACAAGGTTTTTGTAGATCCAAAAATGATTTGTGCTTATATACCAGATTTAAAAAAGGTAACTCATTTTATCTCTTAATATATGTTGACGATTTACTAATCTTTGGAACTAATAACACGAAAATTTTAAAGTGTTGCTAAATAAGAATTTTAAAACAAAATTTTTTGGATTGGCAAATAATTTTTTGGGTATAAATATAGTGCAAGATTTAGATTCAGGAAAGTTAATAATCAATCAAGAAAAATATTTGAGAAATTCTCTTGAAAAATTCAGACTGTAAAAACATAAATACACCAATAGATCAAAATTTTGATTTTCAATCTTTAATCAGAGAAAAATCTGAAAGTGAATATATTGAAAAAAGATGTAGACAACTGATAGGAAGCTTACTTTATGCTGTTTCGGGAACTCGTCCTGATTTAAGTGTATCAGTCATTTTCTTAAGTAGGTATCAACATTGTGCAAGTGTTGCATTATATAAAGTGCTGAAACGAATCTTGCGTTATATTAAAGGTACTTTAAATCTGTCTATTGTATATAGTAATAATTTAGGATATGATATAAAAGATTATGTCGATGCCGATTGGGCAGGGGATATAAGAGATCGTAAATCAACATCAGGATTCATTTTGACATTATTTGATTGTATAATATCATGGTATTCGAAAAAACAACATACTTTATCACTATCATCAACCGAAGCAGAATATGTAGCCTTAAGTTGTGCAATAACTGAGGCATGTTGGATAAAAAAGATATTAGTTGATTTCAATTTAGAATATAAAGAACCGATTGTAATATTTGAAGACAATCAATCAGTTATTAAAATTGCAGAAAATAACGAAAATAATAAACGATTAAAGCATGTTGATATACGATATCATCATATTTTGGACAACATTAAAGCAGGGCTTATCGAGCTCAGATATATCAAAACCTCGGATAATGTAGCTGACATTTTTACAAAGCCGTTAGGTAAGCTGCTGTTTCAAAAATTTAGCAGCTATATCTTAAAATAGATCAATACCTATGTTCTGTTCCTTTTTAATTACGATGAATACAATAAAATATTTGTTGAGGGGGTGTGTTAAAATAGCAACAAATGTTTTATTAAAATATTGTAAAGATGGTAGCAATGATAATATATAGAAGTGTTCAGTGCTTTTCATCTAACAGTTAAGTTATCTATGGTAGAGTAGAAAGTGTGTGCAGTTTTATGTTTTGTGATAGACGACGAAGAGTATGTATGTACTAATAAAGAAGTTAAATTAAAGCCTCCGAGTGTTTTTTCAAACATCAAAAAACTGTGAACAAAATTTCTCTGTCGATAATTGTTTGAATAGAGTTGGAAGAGTTAATGTGGAATCATTGCCATTACCTTTGTTAGAGGCAGATGTAGGCTTACAAATAGTAGTAGAGAAGCAATGGGAAATTCTCTCAAATAGGTAATCGATGATAATAATTCATCGGAAAGCTTCTGCGTACAGGTGTCACGTTATACAAATGCTGGTGAAGTATATATTTTCAAGGAGATTGCTTCCTTTGCTTTAACTGTTTTAAGTTTGCCCTTAAGTAATACAACGGTGGAACGAGTGTTCTCTCAGATGAACATTACAAAAACCAAAATTAGAAAGAAAATCGATATGTCATTAGGGTTTGCAATCCCGCATTCCGCGTTACAGCAATCCAGCGATTTCCCGCATGTCAATGAGACCTGCGGAATTCCCGCATTTGTGCGGTAATTTCCGCGCGGGAAATTTTTGAATAGAACACGTCCGTATAGCAACGTGCGCGCGAGCGCTCCGTTTGGTTTGCATGCGCATCCCGTTCCCCTGTGACAGCATCAATCAATCGAGCGAAAGAAAGGATTGAAATTGGCAGATCTTTGCATCAATCAAACAAATTCCTTGATTCGTTTGTTTATTTTGGAGAAAAAAAGTGTTTAAAAAGTGAAATGTTATATGTAAATAATAGTTTTGTTTTCTTGTATATTAGTTTTATTATACTATATTATCGATGTAGCAAATATTTTTTTAGAAATTGTTACTACGATTAAATTACTAACCTAACCTAGATGTTTATGAATTTAGTAATTTAAGAGCAAGAAGTACGTTAAGTAACTAGAGACATAATAATATCTATGTAAAAATAACAAAAGTAATATATTATTGATGTGTAGATTTATGTCGATTCTTAGGTAATAGTTACTAAACATAGTTTTTATTATACATGGTGGGCCATTAGTGTGGGAAAGTAAAATAACTCCTTTGTTATTCATAATACAGAAAAAAAGTTTATATAAAAGTGATACAGAATCAAAAAATCTAAAGAACAAAATTAATTTGAAACATACAGGGTGATTCGTAAAAACGAGACACGCCAAATATTACATTTTTTAAATGAAACACCCTGTATATTTTTAAACATGGATTTCTGAGAAAATTCTGTATATGGTAATATAAACAGTTTAACATTTTAGTGAAGGGTTGCCAAGTTATGTAGAAAATTCTTCTAACGTTTCAAATTAATTTTGTAGTTTAGGTTTCTTGATTCTGTACACTTTTTTTATAACTTTTTTCTGTATTATGAGTAACAAGGGAGTTATTTTACTTTCTGACACTAATGGCCCACCCTGTATATAGGTAATGCTTATCTGTTTGATTTTTAAATACCAAGAATTATTTATATTTCATTTGATTAAATACAACATTCCACAATAATAGCATTATTATTTTCATATATAAATATATTTTTAAATCTTTCGCGGGAATTACAGCGGGATCCCGCTGTAAAGGCGAATTTACCGCAAACTTCCAGCTGAAAAAAAAGACTGCGGGATTGCAAACCCTATATGTCATGTTAGATTCAGAATAAAAATACATTTCACTCTCAGTAATATATGATGTAGGTACTTCTTTTGAGCCTACAAAAAACATTATAAAAAATTGTCAATATGTATGATCAATACCGAAAAGTGGTGCAGGCAAAATCCCAGTCAGGAACTGAAACTTATGATAAGTTTTGTGATATGTGTAAGTATTTGTTACATTTTTAATTTTATGATTTATTTTTTATTATTATTTTTGTTGAATGAATAAATAGTATATTATGATACTTTATGTGCTAAGCGTGGAAAATAAGTATATAAAGTATCTTATTCCCCGTATTTTTCCCCTATTTTTTCGTCAAACATTATAAATTCTAAGTAAAATGATTAAAATAACTAAGAAAAAAACGAATTTTAAATAAAGATTGAATCTTTAACTTATTTCACTGTGTATATACATTCACTCATTATTACCATAGATACGTACTTGCATCTATCAAAACAAATATTTAAAATTTGGCGCCTCGTCGGTTGACAGTGACTAAGGACTGAAAATGAGTGTAGAAGTGGCTGATGAACCTCCCGAGGTTAGAGAATAGATTAGAACAGTATAAATCTTCCATGTTTGCTCTTAAATATCAATTACCATATGGCATTGGAGAATGTAATTTCTTAGATAACGTTTTTAACAAAGTTTTACAAAATACTATACAATCTGATAACAATGCTATTATGAATAATTGTACTTTCTTGATGTATTATCAGAATGTAAGGGGCTTGAAAACTAAATTTTATGAATTGAATACTGTTCTGTATACAACTGATTTCGATGTGTCGAGCATTTACCGAATCTGGTTTAGACTCCACCGTTATTGATTCTGAATTGGTAAGTACCACCTTTATACTTTTTAGATCAGACCGTAACTTTTCTGAGATGGGTGTCTCTAGGGAAGGAGATGTATTCATAGCTTTGCATAAATTATATCAGGCTAGACGATTAGCATTTAACTGTACTATACCATTTATTGATGTGATTGGAATCAAAATAAGTACTACCAGCTATAAATCGATTTACCTATATGTTGTTTATATTCCACTTGCTACTGACGTTAAGTTTTATGATGACTTTTTCCTGGAGCTCGCTGCTTCAGATATTGGTAATGATGACGATCCATTGGTTGTGTTGGGGGATTTGAACATACCAACATATATTAATTATTTGCAGAACAATAATTACGTTAACAATTGTATTATGTCATTCTTGCAGTTCTGCGTGATTTTAAACTTAAGTCAGCAAAATCAGTTACTTAAAGACTGTTCAGGCAGTGTTGAGACTTTGGCAAAATTTTAGACTTTATACAAAACGTGGCATCCCTGTGCGCGAAGCAAGTGTACGTGTAGCAAGAACAGTAGGACCAGACGAGATGTGTTTTTCGCAGAAAGAACATGAAGCAGACATTTTTCTTTTCTTTTCTTATTATATCTACATTATATGTTCAGTTCAGTTGTTCAGTAGCAACAATAAATAGATTATCATCAATAATTAATCAACGTGTGAAGTGTTCTTTATTATACAGTCCACTAAATAAAGCAGTACAAAACATTGGTCCAGTTGATCCGGAGGTTGGCTAGTGAGAGGCAAGACGGGGAAGAAATAAGAAGCAGTGTGCCCTTTAGTCCTAAAAAAGTAAGTCCTTTTACACACCTCACATTCAATTCGATTTAGATAATAATGGCAGAGGAATCACTATCGGCCCTTAAAATAAAAATGGGCATCGCAATGGGTAGTGTTACTAGGTTAAAAACATATTATGAGAGTGTAGACGAAAATAACTTAAATGAAAAAATTATTGCACAATTAAATGCAAGATTAAATAAGGTAGAGGCTTCTTGGGATGAATTCAATGAATTGCAAACAAAAATAGAAATTCTAGATTCCCAGGAAGCCGAAACTGGTGCGACCAAAAGGGAACACTTTGAAAACTTATTTTTTGTACTAACCGCGGACATAAATACAACATGTAAAAAATACAATGAAATGTCAGATGTGTCTGTGGCCGGGTCCGTAGTAGCAGCCTCGGTTAGAAATAATAATATAAACCTTCAATCTCAATCAATGATTAAATTACCAACTATAAGGTTGCCGGGTTTTGATGGTAATTATAACAACTGGTTGGAATTCAAAGATAGTTTTGCGGCTTTAGTTGATAATAACGAGTCACTATCTGACATTCAAAAGTTTTATTACCTTAGATCAGCATTAGAAGGAGATGCCGTGCAGGTTATAAAATCAATTGAAGTATCTGCGGCAAATTACTCGCACGCCTGGCAATTACTTTTAGATAGGTTTAAAAATAAAAAATTAATAATCCATAACCACATAAAGGCAATATTTGAGCACCCTGGTGTAGTAAAAGAATCTTACACAGAATTACGTAAGTTGTATGACAATGTTATAAAACATCTCAGGTCATTAAAAACCCTAGGTGAAAAAACGGACGAGTGGTGTAATATAAGTATGGTTGCTTAGTCTATAGTCTTAGTTATACTAGCAATCTAGGGGTCCATGGTCAGTAGAGATGGGTAACGCAGCAAAATTTCCTGCGTTGATACACTAACTCAAGCGCACACTGGTGCGTTAACCCACTGCGCTAACTCAATTGCGTTATAACGCAATACCTATCGGTTGAACTGGCGGATGGCGCACCTAGCGCAAAGCGCAGCGGTGTCATCGTGTCACCACCACACCACCCGACGCGCATACGCCGTGACTCGCTACAGCTTCATCAGCTCAGTCAGTCAGTCACTGCTCAGTGCTCAGTGACGCTGGACATCTGGACACGGACATACATTTGCGATTTGCGTTGGTTTTTGGTTCGTTGCTCTTTTGCGTAGGTAGTGATTTTTATATATTATATTATGTAGTGTACAGAGGTCGAAATGATAAAAGAATTACTTTTTTCTATATCTGTATATAGATGCGGCACGATGCAACGTAATTAATGCAATTGTTTTTTTTTTGTCAACATAATTTTCTATACTTTGTCGCGTTAAAACATTCATGTTTTGTAATTTAGTGTAATATATAATGTAAACATTCAGTGTAATATATAGTTTTATATATACAGGGTGTCTCACATTTAAATAGCAGGACTTCAGGAATCAGTAGGAGACCTCATTTTGAGTCTAAAAGTTCCTATATATATGGGTCTTAAAACGCTTAGTTTCTGAGATACAGGGCGTTCAATTTTATTTTTGTTTTATTTATTTATTTTTTAACTAAATAACCGCTGACAAAAAAAATCATCATGTTGCGGCGAAAGACTTAGTATTTGAGGGCAAATAATTTGACACAGAAAATCATCGCATATTAGTTCCAGTGGTGGAGATAGAGGGGTCTCTATGCATATTTTTATAAAAAAAAGTATAGCCGATTTGATATTTTGCAAATGTTTTCGAAAAATATGAAAGAGCATTCAATTTTACCCAGAAAAGGCCCTCTTGTCCAAAGTCGATAGGAGGTGGCGTTTTCAAGAAAAACCGAAAATACTGTTTAGAAGTCAAATAATAATTTTTAAACATTGTGTTACAACTAAATTAAATATGTAGTTCAAAAATTCGGTTAAAATTGTTTTTAATTAATTAAATGAAAATAAATACAAAAATAAATAACGAAAACCATATTACATCAAAGCAAATGTTCGAAATGTAAACCATTTTCTTCGATACATAACTGACACCGACGCTGAATAGAACGTCTCATTTGAATTAAGTTATTGTCTCTGATTTCACTGCATGCGTTCCGAATCCGACGAATAAGTTCATCCCTTGTGTCCACAGTAGTGGTATAAACTCTCTCTTTAATAAAACCCCAGAGGAAAAAATCTAGGGGTGTCAGATCAGGGGATCGGGGAGGCCATGCAACGATACCCCCGCGGCCAATCCATTTTTCGGGAAAGTGGGTGTTCAACCAGTTCCTGACATTTCGGCCAAAATGAGCTGGACAGCCATCAAGTTGAAACCATGCTCGCATTCTTAAATTCAGAGGAATTTCCTCCCACATGTTGGCACTCTCGGTCTCTAAGAACTCTAAGAAATTCGCAGAATTCAGTCGTTGAGGTAAGATGTAAGGGCCGAAAAGACAATTGTTATAAACGCCGAGCCAAATATTAACACTAAATTCGTGCTGAAAATTTCGTGGTCTGATTGCATGCGGGTTTTCATGTGCCCACTCATGCTGATTGTGTAAATTTGTCACACCTCGACGAGTAAAACATGACTCGTCGGTCCATAATATGTGTGATAAAAAATTTCCGTCGTTTTCAATTGAGTTAAGAATCCACCGAGAAAAAGCTATTCTATGTTCCTCGTCACCCGGACGTAAACCCTGAACAGGTTGTAAGTGGTAGGGATGTCTATGATCTCGTCTTAATGTTCTAGAAATAGTGCACCTGGAAACACCAATAATCCTGGAAATTTTTCTGGTACTCGTCGTGGGATCTCTGTCAAATTCGTGCAAGATTCGCTGATTCCTCCTATTTCTGCCAATATTAACGTTAATTATGTTGCGATCCCTATGGACCAGATTCAATCCGTCATTAGCGAAACGTTGATGAATATTAATAAAAACGTGTGGATGCGGCTGTCTTCTATTAGGAAATCGTCTCCGATATTCCCTAGCAGCTTCTGCCGAGTTCCCATTGGCAAACCCGTATATGAAGTGAATATCTGCGTATTCTTGGTTCGTAAACTTAAACGGCATTTTGAATTTGTTGCAATTTTTTTTAATACTCTACACACAATTAGAAACTATAATAAAATAAGCGCAAATGTCAATATTAGAATGACATTTCAAGTCTGATTTGATTTCTAAACAGTATTTTCGGTTTTTCTTAATTTGACTTCTAAACAGTATTTTCGGTTTTTCTTGAAAACGCCACCTCCTATCGACTTTGGACAAGAGGGCCTTTTCTGGGTAAAATTGAATGCTCTTTCATATTTTTCGAAAACATTTGCAAAATATCAAATCGGCTATACTTTTTTTTATAAAAATATGCATAGAGACCCCTCTATCTCCACCACTGGAACTAATATGCGATGATTTTCTGTGTCAAATTATTTGCCCTCAAATACTAAGTCTTTCGCCGCAACATGATGATTTTTTTTGTCAGCGGTTATTTAGTTAAAAAATAAATAAATAAAACAAAAATAAAATTGAACGCCCTGTATCTCAGAAACTAAGCGTTTTAAGACCCATATATATGGGAACTTTTAGACTCAAAATGAGATCTTCTACTGATTCCTGAAGTCCTGCTATTTAAATGTGAGACACCCTGTATATATATATATAAGTTGTAGTTTCTTAAATATTTTGAATACATTATTCATTTGTTGGAATGACGTATTTCGTCTGAATTCTTGCCGCAACTATAGTTATCTTTACATATATACATATTGTAAAAATGGAAAACTCTTTTATATTGTCGACAACGGAAGCAACCGGGTCGTAAGCATTATTTGTTTTCTTGACGGTCCGCGTTGTCGAATGTTTAGATTTAAAATTAGGTTTATTGTATGTTATTACAGCTCCGGTTTTTTTACAGATATAAAAAGTATTTTTTTACTACTTTGGGACTAGGTATTGCATAGGTACTTTTCTATTATGGCATCTAAACAAAAAAGCGAAATATGGGCGCATTTTAGCGAATTAGATGTTGCAAAGAAAGTCAAATGTTTGTATTGCGGACAACAGTTATCAGTTGCTAATAAGTCAACGTGTGGCCTTATTCGCCATATAACAAAAAAACATCCACATCAGAAAATAACCAGGCAAATAGCACTATCAGTGCCATCACCTTTTAGAATTCGCGAGAATGTCAATGCAAATAATCAACTGGCCAGCATTGAACAAAGCTCATCAGAAGACCCTAACATGCAACAACAACAACAATTAAGACCACAATCATCTTCCACTAGTTCCAGTACAATTAGTGCCAATGCCAATATCCTTTCTGAAAATATTTCCCAATATTTATATAGACCCCTTTCATCGAAAAAACAAAGAGAACTTGACCGTCAATTAATCACAATGATAACAAAAGAATATCATCCTTTTAGAATAGTAGAGGATGAAGAATTTAAAAAACTATTGCATTTGTTGAATCCGAATTATAAACTTCCAACTAGAAAAACTGTCTCCCATTCATTGATTCCTGCCATTTACAATGAAACAGTCGACCTGGTTAAAAATCTTATAAAAAGGGCATTTGCAATATGTCTCACAGTTGATGGGTGGACTTGTAGAAATCAAGATAGTTTTTACAGCGTAACGGCACACTATTTAAGTGATGATGATAATCATATTTTACTGGCTTCGGATTTATTAGGTTGCGTGTCATATACTGAGCGGCACACAGGTGAAAACATCGCAAATAAATTAAGAGATATGTTAAAAGAGTGGGATATAAGCCATAAAATCACGGCAGTAGTTTCAGACAATGCTTCAAACATGAAATCAGCTGTGCGTATAGGAGGCTGGCGTCACTGTGGATGTTTTGCCCATTCGCTAAATTTGGTCACACAATCCGGATTAAAAGAGATACAGGTGGTTGTGGATAAAATCAAGTTAATTGTAAAATTTTTCCATAAAAGCAGTCATGCATCCTCTCAGTTAAAAGCAACGCAAGAAAGAATGCAACTTCCACCATTAACATTAAAATATGACGTACCAACCCGGTGGAATTCCACTTACGAAATGTTAAAGCGTGTATTAACATTAAAAAATGCTGTGATATCCGTATTAGCCATTACAAATTCTTCTTTAACGAGAAATGAAGACTATGGAGAAGTCATTATTTTAACCAATGAAGAATGGACCATATCAGAACAGTCAATTAAAGTTTTAGAAATGTTCGACATTGTTACTGAAGCAATAAGTACAGAAAAAAGAATGAGTGCCTCATCTATAATATTGTATTATAAAAAGTTGAGAAAACATTTAAATTCATTTAATTCATCTGAATTAATACCCGAATTTCAAAATCTTGTTATAAAATTATTACTTGAACTAAATCAGCGATTCGGTGATATAGAAGAAAATGAAATAATATCTCAAGCAACCATTTTAGATCCGCGGTTTAAAAAATTTGGTTTTATTGATGAGAGGAAATATAAAAAGACTGTGGAAAAGTTATATTCTATAGTAGCAAATACGAAAGTTCAAAATGATACTCAAACTAATAATGAAGAAATTAATCCACTTTCGTCACATACGACAGTAGTCGATGTAGTTAGTTCAAAGAAAAATGAGCGTATAAAAATGCTTTGGGAGGATTTTGAGTCAGAAGTACAAACATATTCACATCCCATATTGAAGTAGATAAATACTTAGATGAGCCGTTACTGTCCAGAAATGATGCACAGGGTGTACCTCAAGATCCATTAATTTGGTGGCACCAGCGAAAGCATATTTACCCCAGACTTTACCAAATCGTAAAAACTAGGCTGTGTATTATGGCTACTTCTGTTCCT